CACCAAATTGTGATAACCCGCTTTCTTTTATGATGGTAAGCTTCTTCTTCTTCATTTTTTTTTTTTTTTTGCGATATTAATGTAATTATCTCTCTACATACTTTTGATTATGTGTATGCATCCAAACATGTTTGTTTATGGATGTTGGCTAATTTTTTTTATTTGATTTATTTTCCGAAAAATAGGTGAAAATTCGGGGTTTTAATTCTTGTGAAGAACCCAAATAAAATAGGTTTTTAGGGCTTTAGCAACAAGGTATAATTTTTCTATATGCGACTAAAATTGTGCATCAGAACAGTTTAGTATTGAGGCAGTCTATTTGTATTTGTGTTTCTCATGTATGCATAATTTTGTTAATTTTCTATCTAATTTTGTAAATCTCTTAATACATAAATACACATATTGATAGAAATTCACAAATACATCAGTTATTATTTTAACAACTAGGGTTGTGCATAATTTCGTGTATTTCGTGTATAATTTTATACATTTCTGGATGCATAAATAGACAAACATATGTATAGAATTTGTACAAATGCACTGTTATATTTTACAATATTTTTCTACACGTGACTTAAATTCTACTTCAAGATTATACCTCTGATTCAGCCAATTTGCTTAATTTTTTCATTTTTGTATGATTGATATGCATAAGATTGTTGATATTCTGTATAATTTTGTATATTTCTTGATGCGAAAACACTTATTTATCTAGAAATATGCAAATATAAAATTATTATTTTACCAGCTAGGTTGTGAGTGTTCTTTTTTCAGGGCATACCATCTCCATTATCCTTCTATTTAGACTTTCATTTAAACGAAAAACAGAGTATCAGATAGAGATAAATAAATGGTACCCTCGAGCAGATAAAATGTTACAAATTCTTTTTTGGAGCTTTTCTTTCTTTAAAAGGCATGCAGCAGCTTATTTTCTTAATTTAATTAGGTATGGTTTGCAGTTAAAGAAGCAAGCTATCTGCCTCATGTTTTAATTTTTTTTTCATCTTGATAAATTTGAATCTATAACTACAATTCAGTATGGCCATAATTTCTGCCTATCTTTAAGTTAGATATCTATGTAAAGTGTGTCTGAAAGATATTAGCACAGTTCTAATTTAATGCTAACTGAAAGGCTTCATCAATTGTAATTTCAGCAAATGTGAGGTGATTAAAACATCAGTGAAATGGATATGTAAGATTTTTGGATAGAGACTGCAATTCTTCTGTCTTTGCTTTAGGGCAACTACAGAGTGGTACGGCTGGTGTTGAGGAGTACCCTTACTAAAGAATCTAACTTTTATAATTTGAGCATCTTTAAAATGTTATTTGTACTATGTAGGAGTGTGAAACCATGAGATTATTCAGGCTCCTGGTTGGCCAATTTGATTTGGCTGATCTGTCTTTTTCCTGTGAAACCACATTATGCATGTCCAAATTTGCAAAGTGGATAATCTGTTGGCAATAAGATTTGTTTCCATTTTGGTCACGTGTGTATTTTTACATTCATACGTTAAATTGACCTGTCTACATTTTTATGGTACAGGTGTCTATCTGATAATGCTTTAGCAATAAGTTCAATTATGAACCTATTTCTTTGTTAATTGAAAGCAATAAGCTTGATGGCTAGAAAGGGAAACCAACAGAAGAATGGGTTGGATCGTTGCTGGTCAGATGGTAAGAAAGGAATTTCAGAATCTGAACCTGCAGTGCAAAATACTGAAGGAAGAATCAATGGTAATAAGATGGATGCACCAGGGGAAGAACTTCCAAATAGTAGCCATTCAGTCACGCATCAAACAATGAGCATGAATGATACAAGTCACATGCAAGATGAGAAGAAAAGTATGAAAAAACCTAAGAAATCTCATAGAAGAGCAAACAAAAGCATGGATGCAGCACGCAGTGAAAAGCCAGCACCTGAATTAGGCAAGACCGATATGCCTACAGTTGAAGTTTCTGATGTGAGCGAAAAAAATGAAACTGACCCAGAGAGTAATTGCAGCTCTCCGAATTTGAATAGTTTTGCTGACTCACGGAATGAGTTGCGCACAGAAGACAGAATGGGTCATGTAGAGTTTACGGATACTGAGATTTTTAAGTGGATGAGGGCTTGTGCTCTTGCCATATCAAAGGCATCTATTGAATGGGTGGAGAGGCACAAACCTATGTTTGTAACTCTCAAAACTAACGTACTTAAGACACGTGACTATGTTCGAAGGACGATTGAGCATGTGCAACCTATGGTCTCCAGATGGATTATGTATTTTGGTAATGCAGTGCTGCTTCTGTTGATGCTTTGGTTGGACTGTGCTATCAGAGGCACAGAATCCTTGCTGCGCATGGGGACGTCGTCAGTTTTCTCTGTCATTTGGTTTGGTATCCTCTCAACAGTTGCAATGGTCGGAATGACGAAGTTTCTGATAATATTGGTAAGCAGTAATCTTAATAAATGAGCTATACTTTATTCCTTTTTGGAAGAAAAGATATCGGAAAAGAGACGGATTAAAAGTTGCCTGTTTTTCTGCTTCAAGGTTCTATTAGTGGAAATAGCTGCTATTAGAAGGATTAATTGTGAATTGTTTATCTGTTATGTTTATTATTTGCGTTTATGGATTATTCAGGCAATCACTGCTGTAATTGGACTGTTCACTGGGTTCACACTTGCAAGTGTGTTTGTTTTCTTTTCTGGAGCGACTTTCTTGTGGTTATATGGTAGCTTTTGGACGAGTGGATTAGTTATTACTTTCTCAGCAGGTGAACTTTTCTCTCAGAATACTTAGCAATTTTCACCATATAGATTCCACTCCCACTTCCTATACGTAAAACCACTTGACATGATGTTTAATTAATATTTGATCTGAGATAGGTGGTTTTATGGAACTGCAGGATTGGGTTTCATACTGAGCCATGATCGCATTGCACTGTTTATTACAACTGTGTATTCAATGTATTGTACGTGGACATATGTTGGATGGCTCGGTGTGCTTAGTGGCCTGAATTTATCATTTATTTCAAGTGATGTTCTTCTATACGTACTGAGGAATACTTTAGAACAAAGAAGGCCCGACATCCATGCAGACCAAGCAGCTGGAATGCAAGGTCAACCATCCTTTTTTCCCCATGAGTCGACGCATGCTACATCCAGTGGAATTGGTGCTGATGTACCAGATGACCATAATCCTGGAGTTCCTTCAACTAGTGGATTTGATTCTGAATTGACATCTGAAGATGAAGTTGTTAGGTTGTTGAACTGTAAAGATCATTATTCTGCATTGGGCTTGTCCCGGTTTCAGAATGTAGATGCCTCTATAATCAAGAGGGAATACAGGAAAAAGGTGAATGTCTTAATATTTCTCTTTTATTGGGTAATTTACCTTAGAAATTTACAAGGTTAGTCTGTTGTGTGCTGAGCTATACCACTATGTTTGGTAAGACGACTAGACGGTACGATGAACAAGATTTAGCTTCCTTTTCTTATTTAATACCATCCTCTACAGTGCACAAAACATGCACTAGAAGTTTGAATCTTGTTGTGTTACATTGCTATCTTATTTGCAATAACTTAAGTCTTAGGCGCCGTTTGGTAGCCATTTTTTTCAAAATGCATTTTTCTCTATATTCTTTTTAACCACACATTTTTTATTAAAATAATATAACACGTAAATCAAAAACTTTTTCTTATTTTTCAACCACACATTTCACATCAATTTATTATTCTAAAATACATTTTTACATAAAAATGCCTATCAAACACCCCCTTAATGGAAATTCTTCAGAAGAAAAAAGGAAAATGCATATTTAAAAGAACCCAAAGGGCTTTCTTTTCTTTTCATCTGTTAAGTGCACATTTATTTGTGGTTATTAGGCAATGCTTGTCCATCCAGATAAAAATATGGGAAATGAAAAGGCTGCAGAAGCCTTCAAGAAACTTCAAAACGCTTATGAGGTATCTCTTTTTCTTAATCTTGTTCTCTTTCATTAGACTGTTTTCATTATCTGAATCATTGTTCCTGAATACATCTCACCTCTTGCTCTCCAAGGTTTTGCTGGATTCCGTCAAGCGAAAAGAATATGATGATGAATTGAAGAGGGAAGAGCTGCTGAATTTTTTCCGGAATATCCAAAATGGTTCTCAAGAGGTTTGAGCAATAACATATTCCACTTTCCTGAAATGACTCTTCAATTTCCAGGCAATCTTACAGCAGCCATCTGCCTTACATGCATCTGGTGATTATATGATACATAAACCTAATATTTTCAAAAAAATCAAAGTAAAAATACTTATCGACTTCGGTGTGCAATGCTAATAATAATTAGTAACTGAGGAGATACGACACTTGTTTTATCCTCTTCATTTCATCATCAGCAGCTGACGATCTTTTATCCCCATCAAGATCTACTGGTGATAAAATAATGAAGGGAATAAAAGAATTCAAAGAATAAAACCACGGAATGGATATTCCATTATACCAAATATAGCCATTCGATGTACCAAGCATCATTATTTTCTGTTCCCAGTTTTACTTGGCCACAGTTTGTATTGAGATTTTGTAGTTAGAGTTTCTGGTTTCAACTGCACCTTGAATTTTCAGCAGCAATAGTGGTTGTGGATTTAACCATTTTTTATCATTTATTCCATGTGCACAAACACACAATAGAAAAGAAAATGAGGTTTCTATGCAGTCTGGGAAGAATCCTCCTATAGATACGTTTGCATTCTTGTCCATGTCTCTATATATTGTCAGTTTTGCAATAATCAGTCTCATGCTTATCATTCATTCCACTTACCTCATGCTTTTACACGTTGCTTTTCTAGAATAAGGGGCGTGGCTTTGCTACCTCTAGTTTTGCTCGCACAGAAGTAGATGGAGAGGACCCACTTGGGGAGTCGAGAAGAATTGCATGCAGGAAGTGCGGTTACTTTCATGTCTGGGTTCACACCAATAAACCAAAATCTAGAGCGAGATGGTGCCAGGTTTTCCATCCTTTAAATAAATTTATAGATTTAGTTTTCCAAGGCAAAAGGCAGATAAAGAATCTTCTTCGAGGTCAAGATTCTTTCTTTGCCAAAGATGTATTTTTACATGGATTCTTCATTTTCTGATCCCAAGGACTGCAAAGATTTTCATCAAGCTAAAGACGGGGACGGATGGGTCGAACAGTCCTCACAGCCTCTCTTATTTGGTATACTGCAGAAGGTATGTACCATAAGAAGATGCAGGAGGTGCATATTTCATCTTCTTGATGTATTGCCACCAACTTCTCAGTAATATATGCAGGTAGAACCTCCTGCTGTATATGTCTGTGCTGATGGCAAGATTTACGATGCAACTGAATGGTATATTTGTCAGGTAAAGTTCTCTTGCTTGACCTTATAAAATTAATGCCTTAAGACTTGTTGCATTTTCACTGTATGCGATTGCCGAAAGATTGAACGTAGACTCCCTTAGACTTGTTGCATTTTTCGCTATAACTATATATGATGTAATTTCCGAAAGATTGAGTGTAGGCTGCTTCTTTGAAGTGCACAAATTTCGATGAAAATTTCTGCAGTCTAATTTTGATAGAAATAGCCTTTTTCACATTGAATTCAAAGTTGAATGAAGGAAATAGCTTCTTCTTTTCTTTTCTTTTCTTTTTCACAATAATAACAAAAAAATAAGCTTTTTTCACATTGAACTGAAAGTTGATAGAAGGAAATTTGTTAGTGACTGCTCGATTTAACAAAAGAAACAGAAGATATAAGTTTCACTAATTAAAAAATACAGGTTAGGCATGGAGGTAAAATTTAGTCAATATGAAACAAAATTTATTGTATGACCAGCTGTAACCCCAGAGGTGGGGCCTTCGTATTTGACTTTGCCATCTATTGATATAATGCAATAGGTCCCATAAAAGCAACCCGGCCTATTTTATTTACACAAAGTTGTGTGAAGTTCATTTTCTAAAAGAAGGTTTACACTGGATTCAAGGGATTCCAGTCTAATTTGCTCTACGTTTTCTTCTTTTACCCGTCAGGATGTTTTATTGGTTGTTTTCTAGTAATTTATGGATGTAAATCTTGAACACTCTATTATACAGTAAATTTTCGTCGCAGAATCCGGACTTGCACGCCTTATCTCCCAAAATTTAAAGAAAAAACTGTCAGAACACCCAGTGACGAGCACACATGCACGCTCATAAATGGAATGGCTCACTTCGTTGGAGTAAGAAAATGTTGGGCTAATCTTTAGAAAAAGTAACAGTAACATTTAGGCAACACTTTGGTTCGAAACATGTCTGGATATGTTAATTTTTTATTACTTTTTAGGAAAAGTAAAAAAAGGCTGCTTAATTGTTCTCCTTGGTGGTTCCTGCAGGGAATGAGATGCCCAGTAAACACTCACAAGCCTAGTTTTCATGTAAACACTAGCGTTATGTCAAAGAATAGCAATGGGAAGGGATCAAGTCCGGGACAAAGCAGAGGTGGGATTCCGACACATACCATGGAAGAGGCGATGACAGAGGAGGAATTTTTCGAGTGGTTACAAAATGCTATGCAATCTGGCAAGTTTGAAAATTTTGCTACCAGTGGCAGTACATCTGAGAGTCCACCTACCCGAAATCCCCCCAAAACCGGGGCCAGCAATAGTAGCAGTGCAAGCAGCAAGAGAAAGAAAAAGGGGAAGAAGCAATGGTGATCACATGGTGGTATGTTTATGGACCAAAGGGTACACACTACAAGTATTTAACTATTACTAATTGTATTAACCACCACTTTATTGTAATAGTTTGTAAAGCACTTTGCCCAAATTCTGCTGGTCATTGAATTTTGCTCAAGGGTTTTGGTGGAAGTTGGTCATGAAATCAATTACATATGGCATGGCCGGGGGTGTACAATGGACCAGGTGGGCCAGGACCTCGGTCTGAATAACGAGCAAACACTCGAATGAGACATTTAAATTCTGGTGATGCTACTGGTCGGAATGAACAGAATCTGATCAATATTTTCTTGAGGATCTTGTACTTCAATATATATCTCTGATTATGATACTCGAATTTTTGAAAGTTGTTTTTGACAATCATCTTTAAACTTAAAGCAGGCGTTGAATTGTATAGGATTGGTTTTCTCAGAAGTTCGATATAATTAAAGAAGAAAAAGAAACCGAAATATACAAAAATGAGAGTTGGGTAAAAATTGTAATATTCCTTACATTATTTAAGGCTTTTTTAAACATATGATTTCGTGACTATTAATTACAAGATTAATATGAATAAATTCTCTCTTTGCAACTCATAACCTTTTAACTTATAGAATAAAGAGAGTTTTGTATAATATAAACATCACTTAAATGTTAAATTTACATTACTCCAATTACAAATATACGTGTGGCGTTAAAATTTTAATAAGAAAAACTTAGTGGGAAAAATCTAAAAATGAAAAAAGAACACATTATTCTTTTGAATACGCTTAATTAAAAATATTGCTAGAAAAATTTAGTGGAATAAATTGTTCACCCTCATTGCAATCTCCCTGTAGGAGGCATTTAGCAGGATGTGGACAATGTCGATGAAGCCAGAAATTACTTTTACATCGGATTCGACTACGACCTTATGCCTATCGATAATTATTTGTGTCGTGCCATTCACTTCAAGTAAAGGAGGAGAACCAGTCAGCCGGGATTTTTGATTTTTCACTATCTGTTTAGTCACATAGAGGCACACAGATTGCCAATATAACCACGTATGGATGGATGAAATACCACGCGATATAACAATTAACAAGCCTTGTATTAAGCCCGTATTTGAAAGAGATATAATGAGAATAGAAATAGGAAAAATATAAATATTTTTGGTAGAATGTGGGGTTAAAAAGTTAGGATAAGTTACGAGTGTACTTACAAAATTATTTTATTGGAAGAACGTGGTTGACAGAAAATGAGGATAAAATAGAGATTAAGGGTGCGGTTGGTTTCTATTTTCATTTTCAAAACGATTTTTAGTTTTCCCCGAAAAAGGCCCGTTTTCCGCGTTTTGAGCGTTTTCGACATTTATAATTGAAAACGCTAAAAATGATGAAAAGTCGTTTTGCGTTTTTTAGTTATAAATTTTAACTCGTTTTTTGAAAATGCGTTTTCAAAAATGACGGACCAAACGTGTTTTCCGTATTTTCGAAAACGGAAAATGGCCCGAAAACGCCAAACCAACCGCGGCCTAAATGTTCCTCAAAAATGATGAAATACATGTTTATGTTTATTTCATCACGCTATATAGTAGCATATGTTATTAGCAAAATATCATGGACAAAAAGGGTAGAAGAATGTCGCATGCTTCTAGTTACAATCCTACAATGATCTATCTACTTTGATCTAATAAGTTTTTCGAAAATTTTGAATCATATGTTTCAAGGATTTTGAATCCTTTAGGATATAGACATTTTAAGTTGGGTTATAACCACACTAGTTGATGCACACGTAATTTTTTGTGTATCGTCATGCTAACAAAATATTAGTATGTAATTTCATCCACCACAACAAATCTTGCCTCTTCATATTCACCGCTGAATATTTGTGAAAATTATTGTGGTAAAAGTACTTTTTGCATCTTACAACTTCATTATTTTCATATATATTTTCAACAATTTATACAAATTTTTTAATTGTATGTCAATATCATTCAATGAATGTTAATTTAATATCCTCACTTTTATTTGTAATTCTAAGCACCTTTCCTTTTCTCCATGGTGACATAAAATATCAAAATGATCTCCATTTAACCTTTTAAGGTACTATGAAATTATAGAACTAGTTATGTATATGTATAATTTTTTAAGAGCATACACCTCCTCAATCATAATTTATATATTTGGGCAACTATTCTCGCAAACGTAGGTTTCGAATAGATAATTAACACCATGTGACCATCTAGTTAATGCGTGTCTTGAAACTATATAATAACTGTTAGGTTTTATAATTGTTGGCAGTCTATGGACAAAAACATAGTTGTAAAAAACGTTTTAAAAAGTCAAAGAGTCAAGTGGTATGTTATATTAATGAGTTAGAAGTCATTGGGGTCGTCTATGGAATTAAGAAAAAGTTGCTGGATTTTCGCTAGCCTACCACCAAGCTGTTACTCGAGCGTCCAAAACAGTAAGCTCTTCGCTAACCTATCACCTGCCCGTCACATGCCTATTGTTGAGCTCTCGCTCGAGGGACAGTGAGTCTCGAGAAACCCTATTTTGTGTTTTTTAAGGTTTCTAATAGGTCCATACTACCCAGAACCTCCAAACTATAAATATTTGCGCTTCACTTTGAAAATTGAAGATATTGAACATTGAGATACACTAGAGATTACTTCCTACACTTCACATATATTGTTCAATCCTTATTTGCTTGAGACATATTATTAAAAAACATCAAATCCACACAAACGAAACACCAAAACACTTACTTCCATAGAATTTGTCAGTGTTTTGAAGATTAAAAAAGGTTACCGAAGTTCCAATTATTGGAGAACGAGGAGTTTCACGGAAGATCCATGAGAGATAGATGAATTTAGAAGGTCAAGAGTTGGTGTAAGAGCACAAAATCCAAAAGGGTTTTGGTGATTATAGTCAATGTTAGAAAGTATTAGAGTTAATCGAATCTGGCAGTACCAAAATTGATTCATTCATAGTGGATTAATACTAGCTTGAGCCCGAAGTTTTTAATCTCGCGAGGGGTTTTCTCCCTCAACAATCTCTGTTGTTATTTACTTTTCAGCATTTTAATTTAATAAACTGCAATAATTCAACTTAGAATAGTGTGCATATGAATTCATATGGATTAATTAATAACTGTCTTGTTGCAATTAGTAAATGGTAAATTTAAATTTCGCATAAACACCTCTAAGTGTTAGTTAGGTCGAACTTCATTTTTTTCAATAACTAAACATTCCACATGGAGGGTGAACGACCTCATAAGTCACCCAAGTACTTCCCACAAATAAAAGGGATTTACTCACAACTTTAGCTGGTGTGGTCGAATGACCAATTTTCCATAACGACACACTCACATGTTTATTAGATTGGAAAATCTTTCGATTCTTCAATGTATTAAATTTGAATTCTTAATAACTTTCATACTATCGTCAATTCAAGATGGTCTAATCAGTCATATCAAATAATAAAATTTTAAGTTATTGATGATTTTTTTTTTCAACCACCATATAAATGCAACACAAAAGTAACAAAATTATATGCTAGGACAATTTCGTTATTCTTGAATACTTGAATAAATAATGTTCTCTTGTAGGGGACAATGGATGATTTCAATGTCATGCTGAAAGCCGTAATAGACAAGTGCACAAAATTTTTACATTGTGACATTCTATAATTGAATTCTATTTAAAGAACATACAATAGGATCCAATATTGGGATCATCGTGGAATCACCACATAACCCCCCTAGCGATCACGCGAATTACGACAATTTGTAGGAAATATCTTCGGATCCAATTGCTATTCATATGCCTACAATAGGGACATTTGTAGTGATTATTCTATTTAGACTCTAATATGATAGCCGATTTACGTTCGCTTATTATAAAACAAATTTAATACTAAGCAAATTTGCAAAATATATGGCGTGGCAATATCATGATGATAAAGAATGACATTTCATATCCAATCTATAACAAAATGCATCAAAGTCCATAAACGTCACTATAATCATTCTTTATATGAATAAAGTTCCCTTCCTTAGCACGTAAACAATTGAAATTTAGTGGTTATAAGTTATAACACGCTTCTAATATCCACCCCCAAAGTATCATTTTCAATGTAGCCTGTTCGATGTTGCTATTTAGCAGATTTTAGCAAGTTTCCAATTTTGAATAATCAAAGTTCGAAGCCCACACGTGATTTGATCTCTGTCTCATTCCAACATCTCTATGTCATAAAATTTATTTTCTCTTTTACCTTGAGTTTGAATTGTCAACCAATATATATATAATCAACAACGACAGAGGCAGGTGCATTTTCGGTATTGCATGTGGCAAATCCATTCTAGACGTTATTGGACATTTAACATAAGAATTTTATTGAACTCCGAATTTTCTAAGTTGGAAACTTGTTAATAATATGCTAAGTAGTAGCATCAAACAAAGGTGTGATAAAGAATATCGCAACCAAAGGATTATTTGTATTCATGTTGGATCGATGTTATTAATCACAACATATAAGAATTCATTCATGTATTTGATAAAGAAATTTACACAAATTCGCTATTGTCTTTTAACATGATAGCAATTATGAGGAACATGACTGGATTGGACTGGACTGTATTGGATTGGAGTAAGAAATAAATAAAAGGGACTATGCATAGAAACGTACATATAAGAATATATTGATAGATATCTTCAAGTCGTCAATATTGAATTGTAAAATCAGAAAAAAAATTTCTCCGGAATTTTTTTTTCCTAATCATAGCACATATTTATCTTCGAGAATCAGTCCTTTTCTTTTAGTCATTTAGTAATATCAGCAACCTCAGCTGTCAAGATTCTTAAACACAGAGAGTTTAGCTTTATCTTACCATTTATATGAATCAAACTCCCTCGTAGAAAGGAACATGGCTGGATTGGACTGGACTGTATTGGATTGGAGTAAGAAATAAATAAAAGGGACTATGCATAGAAACGTACATATAAGAATATATTGATAGATATCTTCAAGTCGTCAATACTGAATTGTAAAATCAGAAAAAAAAAATTCTCCAGAAATTTTTTTTTTCTAATCATAGCACATATTTATCTTCGAGAATCAGTCCTTTTCTTTTAGTCATTTAGTAATGTCAGCAACCTCAGCTGTCAAGATTCTTAAACACAGAGAGTTTAGCTTTATCTTACCATTTATATGAATCAAACTCCCTCGTAGATAAACATGGGAAATTGTGGGAGAAATTTGAAACTTTGCACGAATATCTTATTGATAAATTGAAGAAAATCAAGCAAGAAAATAAGAAAAAGGAAGTAGAGAGACGTAAGAGTTTTGAGAAGAAATTATAACTTTTCCTTATATTATATTATTAAGAATAATTCTATTAAA